ATTCCCTATATACACAAGAATCGACCCAAAACAGCTGTTATGTTAATCAGTTTAGCTGAATTACAGAATCACACAAATTACAGTTTAGTTTTGGTCAAACATTTATCTCTCCTCATTTTCGAAACCACTTACTGTACAGTAGATTATAAGGGTGTAAAAAAATATTCAAACCGATCTGAAAAACCATGATACACCACCCACGGTATGTACCACAATACTCTCATGGCATACCGAACGACCCCTGCCCAAATAGTGAATCAAATAATAAATCAGCCCTAGTAGATAGATAATCTATGAAGATGATACATTACACAACAATGGTTTATTAGAGTTAACAGTTGTATTATATTAATCTATTAAACATGAGGTCAGTTGAGACTTAAAAAAAGAAAGCACAGACAGTTAACATTAAAACCAGTACAAAGTCACACATTTTCAGTTTTTATGAAGTTTTATGAAGTACAGACTGTAACATGCATGTGATGATAATAATGTAGAATATCTCATATTAATAATTGAGATATACTTTCATAAGACTACTCTAAATTGTGTGGTTTTAATTAGTTTGAACTAAATTAATTCATTTTGTGAATGCATTAAACATATGCATGTTAAAATGATCAAATAACTAAGAGACAGATCACAAATCGTTATACCCCCATTCAAGAATTAATATTAATGTATTTTTTTTGTGCGTTAAACAGACATTGATAGAACATTGGCAGAACATGGTGGATGCATTAGATGTGTACATACAGTAGCAATGCATAGAGTTGAACAGTTTTTTTATTTATTTTTATTTTACATATTTTATATACACCAAGCAGTATCACTCACAATTTTTCCTCTGGAGTTTTTGGATTTCATCTTAGAAAAATATTTACTTTAATATGTACATTATTCCTCAAAAAGGCCTAGTTCATAATTTGTATGGATGTGTGTCCAGGATCATCCATTAGTGACAGCTGTATTATGGAGATGATGAAGATGGGGCTGTGAATGATTTGTTTTAGCTTTATCTGCGAGATGCTGCTGCCTACACTGTGCCTAACATTTTTATACACAAATGATAGCACGTTGCCAAATTTAGACACAAAATAACACAGATGACAACATTTACTTGAAATTATTTAATAATAAAAATAAAAGAAACACTTGATGGGTGAATCACCAGGTCTTATTGTACCCCCCCAAAAAAAAATAATAATAAGTTTTAAAATGTACTTTCTTACTATCTCCACCTTTTTTTTTCCAGGGAGAACCTGATCAAATGCGATAAAATAATAAAATGTGTGTGAATTTTTGCATTAAACTTTTTTTTCCCCAAATTGTCCAATTTACTATGAAAATATACTAACTAAATTCAGATAAAGTAGATACAAAACATACTGTAGATAAATCCTATATAAACTAAAATCACATAAACTGAACTGTGTTATGATGAAATGCTTTCAAAATGAACTGCTGTTTAAACACACACACACACACACACACACACACACACACACGATGATAGCTTAAACAAAATGAATGAAAAGCTGTATGAATGTCTGTTTTTTCTGTCTACATGCTTTTCTGATTGTTTCCTGAAATGGATAGTTGACCCAAAAATTTACATTTTGTCATCAGTTACTAACCCTGTAGAAATATCTTTCTTCTGTTGAACACAAAATAAGATACTTTGAAGAATGTTGGTAACCAAACAGTTGCTGGTGGCCATTGACTTCCATAGTATACAAATAATTTGCAAAATATTACTTTATAGTCAATTCATAGTTTATAAACTGTAGTTAATGCATTAATAAACTCTATACAAATAGTGAGTTCTTCATTCATCGTCACTGTAATTAACAGATTATTATTGTTACATAATAGTCAACATAATGTTACATAATTTTATTATGTAAAGAGTTAAATAATGCTTTGTTAACAACTTATTAACTGCAAATAGTTTACAATTTTACAACTTTTACATTAATTGCATTAGTATTGTGTTCTCAAGAGCTCATGAAACATAAAAACATAAAACATCGTCAACATAACCCCCCATCATAACAGAAACTTTTCTAACTTAGCATAGCAACATTTAAAGCTACTAAATCTCCTGCTTACCATTATATAACACTTAATTTTTAGCATTTATTCTTCTTTTTGAGTGCCATAGCAAAGCATGATGAGAAATAGAAATTCAGCCTGATTTCTGATAAATTTAAGTTAAATTTAAAGAAAAAAGTTTAACAATGAAACAATTCAGGTTACCTAAAATGTGCCAGTTTTGTGTTCAACAGAAGAAAGAAACTCATACAGGTTTTGCCTTGAGAGTGAGTAAATCATGACAGACAACATTTCCAAACATTTTTGGGTAGCTATCCCTTTAAGGCAGGTCAAGTACTGTATATATTGCAGCCTTACTGAAAGAGATCAAGTCAGTTTTGAGAAACAGCAGTGAGTAATACAGTTGGCATACAATCCGCTGACCAACACACAATCCCTTCAGGTGCTGAAAGGAAAGCGGAGCTGAGTTAAACTTCTGCTCAGAGTTAAATGCACTTCAGCACAGTGGAAGCTGACACAATCACTCCATCTCGAAAGAAACATATGGGCTACTGTCAAAGATATGACGTGTAGGATATCAAGAGGCACCAGAACTCCCACACAAGATGAGCAGCATAGATAGCCAGTGACACATGCTCAGATCAGAGACAGCAAGCGTTTAAACCTCGCCAAGAGCTGGTCATGGGCTGTGATCTGATGCCAGACCAGTGAATCTGAGAGCTAAAGGAAACAGTCCAGACATGAACAGAGACACAAGCCTGGTCACAAATGGGTCAGCAAATGGGCTGTGTGTGGTTCTCCTGATCAAAGCCTGGCTCCAGGTCTCGTGTTGTGTGGTGTGTGCCGAGATTCAGGTTTGAACTGGTTGTTGCCGGCTCTGTCAGACAGTTAGCGTCATGTTTCTCAGGATCCACTGCTGTGATCGCCTGCCGCTGCAGTCTCTGAGAGTGGGAACCATCTTATCCTCTTCAGAAGGCATGTCCAGACACTGGTTACTGTTCACATGGAGCAGAGTCAGCCGCTGTGGGGAGACAGATTTATAGAGAAATGAAAATCAAACAACACTTGAAAAATAACATGTTATCGATGAATCTCACACTTTACACTAAGGTTTCATTATTTAAGCATGAACTAACACTGAACAATATATTTGTTAATCTTAGTTAATGGTAATTTCAATGTTTGCTAATACATTTGTTCATCCAAATGTAGTATCTATTCACATCAGTTAATGCAATGTGAACTAGCATGATAAAACAATGAACAATTGTATTTTATATATATATATATTGTGTGTGTGTGTGTGTGTGTGTGTGTGTGTGTCTTTTCTTTGTAGCAACTATCCAACTTCATCCAGTTAATGAACAGTTATATATCTGGTAATATATGAATAGTAAAAGTTTTACAAAGTTAAGGTGTATCATCAGTGCTGAAAGTAAGTGGGGCTCTTCTGACCAGACTGTGAAAGCATAAAAAAGAGTGAAACTATCCAGTCAGGAACAGCCAGAGACAAAACTAGTCCCTTTTAAATACTGCATATAAACTGAAAGTAAGTGATGCATCACAGATTTTGCTATATTGGTTAAATTGCAGTTTGTAAATGAATCCGCAGGACTCTTCGAAACCTTTACGAATCATTTGTTTCGAATCAGTGGATTGGAGCAGTAGTATCAAACTGTCAAAGTCACACGATTTCAGTAAACGAGGCTTCATTATCTCTAAACTGTTTCAAAATGTTCAAAGATTTCAATGGTTCGCTATTGGGGGCGATTATCTCTGTGAACCTGTGTATCTTGCGAGAAATTTGTAAATTTGTAGACATTTTAATGAGACATTGATGATGTTAATTGCATTTAATATATTATATTTTCAATAAAACATTTGGAATGGGTTTGTAAAAGCTGTTTTTATGCACGTTTCAGTCTGAGTTTTTGTTGCATTTACACAGTTTTGACCAGCAGGCGTCACTAGCATGATGTTTCGAGCGCTAAGAAACAGCAAATCATTTTGCGAAGCAATTGGTTCAAATGATTTGAAGCTTCGCCCATCTACCTTAAAGTTATGAATATGTTACAGTGATAAAGAGAAAATGTGAAAATAAAGAGTGTAACATGCTTGATAAGTTATTAAAAACACAATAAACTGTGAACAAGAAATTATTTCGGTACTCGCATGGCAGTCTGAGGCCCTGTCCACCCGAACGCGCTTATTTTTAAAACCGCAGCTTTTTCTACGCGGTTAGGCCGTTCGTCCACACGCAAACGCAGCACCAGTTCACTGAAACCGAACATTTTTGAAAATGCCTGCCTGGGTGAAGATTTTCAAAAACTCCGGTTGCAGTGTTATCGTGTAGACAGCAGAACCTGAGTTTTTGGCTTGTGACGTCGGAGCCTGCGCTGTTATCTCCGCCTACTGGAAACTTTTTCAGGCTTCTGATTGGCCAACATGGCTTTACGGTTGAGATCATATCGCCACCTGTTGGTTTGGCATGCTCTTGACAGTGCTTCAGAGCATGCGTTTGAGTTTTCATGTGGACAGAGATTTTTTTAAAAACAGAAGGAAAAACTTTTATAAAAATACCCGTGTACGTGTGGACATGGCCTGACAGGCAGCTTTCTGCACGCATCCTCTAAAGCAGTGGTTCTCAACCCGCGGCCCGTGGGCCGCATGCTAATATTTTTATTCTATTTAAAAAGCATGGTTCAGTACTTTTTTTGGAAAAAAGTTAAGCACTATTTAGTTTCCATTCAGTATCCATTTAAAAAGTATCGGTTGATTAATCGTTTATCGGCCAGTGTGGTCCAACCTAGCTATCGGTATCGGTAAAATCCACTATCAGTCGACCTTTAATTAGAAAGTATTTGACATTTAAAGTGCCCCTATTATGCTGTTTTTAGTTTCCTAATATTGTTTTGGGAGGCTCCTACAACAGGTTTAATAATAAAGGTCAAATAATGCTTTAGTTTTCTCATAATATACATTAAATTTAATTTTAATTTAATTTCTCAATGATTCGTAAACGATTCGTACGAAGCAGTTCAAAGAATCAGGCTCTCTAAACCCCTCCTTTCCGTGAGCCTACTCTGCTCTGATTGGTCAGATGGCCCAGTTCTATGTTATTGGTCTACTGCAGTGGTTCTCAACCCGTGGCCCGCGGGCCGCATGCGGCCCGTCACGAATTCAAATGCGGCCCACCATGCTGAACACAATTTTAAAAAATTACTTTCAGTTTTACAATTAATTTTAGTTTTTACATTAATTTAAAAATGTACTAAATAAATATCATCTATAGCCTAATGTTTTTATGTAAAATAATTTGTTTTTCATATATTATTTTCAGACATGAGCAGTACTCACATAGCCTAAGTAACGTTACACATTTAAAGTAACGACCAAAATAGTTTGCGCAGAGAGTGGAAGCTGAAGCGCGCTTTGCAGGACATAGAGACGCCAGCGCCAGCACGATCACTTGTATTTTTTTTCAGTGGATACACCGTAATTTTTGCTCATAAAGGTAAGAGTAATGCATCATTCATATGACGTGAAAATTGTCCCGAAGCCCAGCCCGAGGGGCGTAAAAAAGTCAGGGCCCGTCAGGCCTGGGCTGAAATTCAGGGCTCTAGCTCTGATCTAGCACACAGAAAACGATTTGACTGAAAATGTATCAGAAGAGATGAAAGAAAGATAGTGGTCATCCACGCAATTTGGAAAAAGAGGCGGCTTTTCTGCATTTAATTTTTTGTACTCTTTGTACAGCAGTTATTGTTCATTCTAATTTCATTTTTTAATGTAGAATATGTGTTACATAAATACATGAAATGTAGAACACATAAAAAAGTGCTCGTGGCTCGTCTACCAGTGGGTGCCCCCCCACGCATAAAAGTGATGATTTTGCTGTTACTCCTTTCGAGCCGAATTTCACAAAATTGGGTGTTATTTATGGGGAGTAGAATTATTTATTTATTTCAATGAATGTAATCGATTAGATATAATATTTAGGCTATAATATTATAAATCAGGTTGGTTTGTATTGCTGACGTAATTTGTAAATGATATGGGTGAGGCCCGCCAGACTTGCACTTGGACCATAGTGCGGCCCGGTGGAAAAAAAGGTTGAGAACCATTGCTCTAAAGCATGCTCCTGCTATCCCGAACTGAGTTCTCTTGCATATCTTATTGCTCTTGAACGGCCAAATACACACACGTGTCAGAAAATCACTCAGTAAGTGTATTCAATCCATGCATCAGTCCAATATACCTGCTGCCACCACTGTCATCTATGTTAATTGAACAACCAAAGAAAAAGAGAAACACACTCACTGCTTTTAACTGAATAACTTAGCATATTTAAATAATATAGTGTAGACTGTGCAGTTTATTATTTTACATTTGCTGACTTTGCTTTGATGACCTTGCTTCATTTTTATTTTATTAGCCTACTGATTGATTGTTTACTTCAATAAAAGCTTGTGACATTTTTACTTATATTAAACTGGGTCAAAGAAAGAAATGTATCATTTGCAAAGTATTGGAATTTACATGAATTTCCAAAACCTTCTGGTCACACTATAAAATTATATAGCTTCAAAATGACAGGGAACATACAACAATACATTTTATTTCTCAATTTCCAATTATGTGGTAAAGGATCTTGTATCTTTAAAGATTAATGAATAATTTTGGTTTGTGCTTTTTGCTCCATCATTACATTTAACCCCATTTTAACCCTGTTTAGCTGTTTGAGTCTGCAGAGAAGGCATTCAACACTGTCTCTGTAAGCATCATGCCATCCAGAAGAACTCCAGAGACGGATAATGAAAGCTGCTGCCCTGCTGAGTCTAGACACCCTTCCAAAAAACCTGGAGCCTGCGGGTGATTGCTCCTCAACAGCTCTGAATGAAGGTAATCAGTCACTGTCTCACACTGAGAGATAGGTGAGAATATGCACTGTTCTGCCTCTCCTCAACTGTAGACTACTCAGACTCTGACACTATTTTACAGTTCATGCAGCAGACAGTATGACGAATGAGGTGACCGCATGCGGTCTCAGGTTTGGTATGAATCACTGAGCATTTTGAGTTCATAATGAACAGCAGCTAGATAATAGTGTTTTACAGCTCTCACAGAGCTCTCAGTCATCCCTGCTTTTCAATAGCACCTTACTGCAAAGCAGAACAGACAAAATTAATTTGCACTTATGCATATTCAGACCTGCCGGAAATTGTAATTGAAAATTGTATTTTCAGAAAACAAGATTCCTCACCGATAGCTATTGGATGATGCAGAAGATTTGGAATGCAGCACACGAGTCGAAAACTTGTGTGCTTTAACTGTATGAGCAGCATGAACATTCTGATAAACATTTAAAAAGAAGTATGTGTTTGGAAAGAGTGTGAGGGTGACAGAAATTTCACTTTTACTAGGTGAACTATTAATTAAAAAAATGCACCTACTTACCTGAATCCTACCTAAATACCTGAGCGTGCGCGCGCGTGTGTGTGTGTGTGCGTATGTAGATTTACTCTCCACTTTTTGAGCAATAATAATTACATTTAAACTCATTTTGACCAATGAGGGAAATTCACATAAAACTAAAGCTTTAAGCTAATATTCATGAGCCCGACAGACATAAGCTTATATAAGCATGAATATGCTGACAAAATGCAATCTAAGGTCATAATCTACCATCTGCAATCAACCAGCTCATAATTCTCAAAATAATATGAAAAATATGCATATTCATTCATGTTTGCAATGTTTTAGTTCTGATTATTTAAGTTATATAATAATAATTTATGCATTTAGCAGACGCTTTTATCCAAAGCGACTCACAATGCATTCAGGCTATACATTTTTTACCAGTATGTGTGTTCCCTGGGAATCGAACCCACAACCTTTTGCGCTGCTAACTCAATGCTCTACCACTGAGCCACAGGAACATGTTATATTATAAAAAATAAAATAATAATAAAATAAATAAATAAATAAATAAAAATGTTTGCTTGACTGATTCAATTATGT